GCCCACTTGCCTTTTGCTTTCTCTAGCCTTTTCTTTAGTCCATCCAAGACGACTTTATTTGATGCTTCTGCTTGCCCGTTTGCTTGAGGATATGCCGGTGTGGAATTGTAGAACTCTATCTTGTACTCTTCGGTTGTGTTCAATTACCTCCTCCATGGTGATGTTTGTGAGCTTTTATAGGTTCCGTGTGGCATAATTCTAGTAGGACTCTTATTTCTCCATGCAGAGTCCTCCTAGGATTCATACTCCTAAGGATAATGCTTATCCTTTTACACCCTCCCCCACTGCTTAAACCAAGTGGGATGGTTTTCTCCATGGCCGAATTACTATTTGACCGAAGTAACACTGGCTATGCCGAGCCACAAAGTAGGCCGTACTAACAGTAGTTTGGTTCTTCTTCATGCTACACCATATCTCGGTTCTCTCATACACGAACCGTGGTGTGCTTGGACCGATCTACTGAGTAGCTACATTCCGACCGACCTACCTCGAATTCATCATGACCGGACTACCTTTTTGGGACCGGACTAACTCAAGTTGTCCAAACCGAAGCAGCTTTACAATTCCTTAGCCGAAGTAACTTCATCTCTTTTGACCGTAGTAAGTCAACATCTCCTTAGAACCGGAGTAAATCTATCGTTCTTGAACCGGAGTAAATTTAACAGCTTGGGCCGGAGTGGCTTTTATCTCTCTTGGGCCGGAGTAACATTTCGGCCTTTTTACCCAGTTCTTGGCGTTTTGGGCCACAAAGTCCATCTCACAGCTCGGCCCAATTTTTACCAAAAATTACCCTCTCAGGACCTAAAATTAGGAAAAAGCTTTCAATGAAAATTACAACGTCTACAGAAATGATCCTAAATAAAATTATGCTAAGGAATGACAAGCTAAAGAACTCCTCCAACTTCAAGTCACCCAAACAAATAACTTATCCAATCCCCACGACACCCATCCTTTGTACATCTTTGAGTTAGCAACTTTTTAAATATCCAATCAATTTATATGCACAATACCACCATCAATTAACTACAAAAGTCAAAAATCAACATTTTTTATAAACTCAACAACTTAAGTAAAATCTCTTCAATCACTTATAAAATTCCTCCATAGAACCTAGAGATACCCAATCCACCATTTATCAAATCAATTTCAACATATAAATTTCCTAACACCAAAATCCCCAATTTTAACATCACATTCAAACCTTAGATTAACCCAAAATCTTAATCTCCAAAACAACCATCAAATTGATCATTTTTTAACATGTAAAACATTCATAGAAACTAATTGAGAGTATAAAATTCAACAATCAAACCCCAAATCATAATAGATCTAAAATACAAAAATTTCATCATCTCTAACTCAAAATATGTAAAACCTTCACCTAAACTTTTAGAGAAAGATTCTTACCAATTACAAGCCTCTAATCCATCAAGGAAATAAACCCCATGCTTTGATTCTTCAAAAGATTAAGAAAAATCTAGAGGTGGTACTTTTATTGTGCTATTTTCGGATGGATTTAAGGAGTGGCCGACCGGACCCTTTTTTGGCCGAGATAAGGTGGCCAGCGGTGGTGGAGATGGTGGGTTAAGGTGGTGGTGAAAGGGTGGAGCAAGGTTGTGGTGTTTGGCCACCAAAGAAGTAAAGGAAAATGAGAGGGAAGTTAGACAGGAAAGTATGAAGACAACGATGTAAACAAAAACAAAAAAATCTGCACTTTTTTTTTTTTTTTTTTGAAATGGGGTGTTTGGTTACACCTACCATCAAGTTTGGAGTTGGGTTTAGATATCCTAAATGGAGTTTAATATAGGAGTGTGTTTGGCTCTAGATGAAAAGTTGGGAATATTATAATTCTACCCCCCTAAAGGAAATTTCGTCCACGAAATTTATTTATTTGTTTAGTCTAGTTCATACCTTGAAAAAGATGTGGATATCGAATTTTCATATCATCCTCCTGCTCCCAAGTAGCTTCCTCCAAAGCATGATTTTTCCACAATACCTTTACTAATGGTATAGTCTTGGAACGTAGTACTTGATCCTTCATGTCCACAATCTCTATGGCTTCCTCTTCATAAGACAAATCATCCTTGAGTTGGATTGGTTGGAAATCTAACACGTGTGATGGGTCAGGCATGTACTTCTTCAACGTGGATACATGAAACACATTGTGAATGCGAGATAGACTAGGTGGTAAGGCCAAATGATAAGCAGTCTTGCCAATGCGCTCTAGTAACTCAAATGGCCCAATATACCTTGGACTTAGTTTGCCTTTCTTACCAAATCGCATCACTCCCTTCCATGGCGAGATTCGTAAAAATACATAATCTCCCACTTGAAATTCCAAATCCCTCCTCCGATTATCTGCATAGCTCTTTTGTCTACTTTGAGCCGCCTTCAACCTTTCTCGAATAATATGCACTTTATCGGTAGTAATTTGAACAATCTCTGGCCCTAACAATTTTCTCTCTCTAACCTCATCCCAACATACTGGAGTTCTACATCTTCGCCCATATAAAGCTTTATAGGGAGCCATTCCAATACTTGATTGATAACTATTATTATATGCAAATTCTATTAAGGTCAAGTGTTCATCTCAACTACCTCAAAAATCTAGGACACAAGCTCTCAACATATCTTCTAAAGTTTGGATTGTCCTCTCAGATTGTCCGTCGGTTTGGGGGTGAAAAGCTGTACTGAATCTCAATTTAGTACCCAAGGCATCTTGAAGACTAGGCCAAAAGTGGGATGTAAAGCGTGAGTCTCTATCTGAAACAATAGTTACCGGCACACCATGCAATCTCACAATTTCATCCACATAAATTTTTGCTAATCGATCAAGTGAAAAGCTTTTCTTAGTAGCCAAAAAGTGTGCAGATTTGGTCAACCTATCTACAACAACCCAAATAGAGTCATGCCCCTTCTGTGTGCGAGGCAGGCCCGAAACAAAATCCATGGCGATATGCTCCCATTTCCATTCAGGTATAGGAAGAGGTTGAAGTAAACCAGCTGGGCGTTGATGCTCTGTTTTAATCTGCTGACATACCAAACACCTTGACACAAATTCTGCTATCTCTCTCTTCATATTTGGCCACCAATAACTTTCTCTTAAATTTTGATACATCTTTGCACTCCCCGGATGCATTGCATAAGGTGAATTATGGGCCTCGTCTAATAGCTCCCTTTTTTATCTCGGGCTCATTTGGAACACATAACCGATTTTTAAACATCAACACACCATCTTTTTAATAATAAAGTCTGACAGAGTACCATCTTTCACTCGAGCTCGGGTCTTCTCCAAAACTGAGTCTTTCCCTTGGGCTTCTCGAATGCGATCCACCAACAAAGGTCTCACTTTAATTGTAGCTAACAAGGATCCTGACTTCCCAACTGCTAGATCAACTCCAATAGATTTTATTTCATGCAAGAGACTAAATTCAATGCCCTGAATGTGAGTTAATCTCCCTTTAAATTTCCGACTAAGAGCATCGGCCACCAAATTAGCTTTTCCTAGATGACAATTAATGGTGCAGTCATAGTCCTTAATCAGTTCAACCCATTTCCTTTGTCTCAAATTTAAATCCCTTTGTGTGAATAAATATTTCAAACTCTTATGATCGGTATATATCTCACATTTTTCCCCCATATAAATAATGTCTCCACAACTTTAAAGCAAAAACAACTGCTGCGAGCTCTAAATCATGGGTGGGATAATTGCGTTCATGGTTCTTCAATTGTCTAGATGCATAGGCCACTACCTTTCCATGTTGCATCAACACACAACCGAGCCCTTGATGAGAGGCATCACTGTAAACAATAAATCCTTCACCACTTAATGGAATAGTAAGCACTGGGGCAGAAGTTAATTGCTTCTTTAATTCTTGAAAACTCTTTTCACAATTCTCCGTCCACTCAAATTTGGTATTCTTACGGGTCAAATGTGTTAATGGTGCCGCAATCAATGAAAACCCCTCTACAAATCTACGATAGTAGCCTGCCAACCCTAAAAAGCTCCTCACCTCGGTCACGTTAGTAGGACGATCCCAGTTCACCACAACCTCTATTTTCTTCGGATCCACAAAAATACCTTCACCCGAAATCACATGCCCCAAAAATACGACACGATCTAACCAAAACTCATATTTGCTAAACTTCGCATACAACTTCCTTTCTCGTAAAGTCTGCAATACCACCCATAAGTGTTGTTGATGATCCTCTTGACTCTTGCAATAAACAAGTATGTCATCAATAAATACAATCACAAATTGGTCAAGGTATGGTTGAAACACTCTATTCATAAGGTCCATAAATGCGGCGGGGGCATTAGTTAGACCAAAAGGCATAATAAGAAATTCATAATGGCAAAACCCCGCCAAGAGGGTGCACCTCAAACGCTATAGCACCTTTACACCACAATTCCTGTATAAATCTTACATCACATCACCACATCACCAAAAGTGCATAAGACCTTTCAATTGCCCAACATATATGAGATGATCTATTCAAAGACAAAAAGTATTATCATGCTACAAGATAGTTCCCAAGCATTTCCTCCCCAAAAATAATACATACTATTCACGAATCCATCAATACATCCAACTTCATAAGCAATTATTTACGATCAACCTCTTTCATAAAAAAAGAAGAAGGTAAACTTACATCCTAGAATGACCCTAAGCAAAACCTCAACTACAAGATGCCCACCTTTGATCCTTCAAAAAAATTCTAGTCTTCCAAGTTGAGGCGAGCCACACAAAATTCTATGAATCTGAAAAAAAAAATTATTTAAAAGAATGAGCCAAAGCCCAATGAGTATACCAATACCATGGAGTTATAAAACTTGCTCCTTCCAATTGGGTTCAAAATAAAGATAATAAACATAAGAGCTTAATTGGACTGAAATTTATACAAAATAAAAATAAAAATAATGAAAGTAAACAAAAATACAACTTTTCAATACGTTAAGATTTCATGTCCATCATACGAACCACTACATAGCCTTAGGGTCGCGTTACCTCGCGACTTAGGTGGTGACGGTACCGTTACCCAAAACACAACCATAGGAACATAACTCATGTCAACGTAGCACTTCAATTCTCATTTCAATGTTTCGGTCCCCGGGACCCCTTATATATACAACGACCCTTATGGTCCATAAAACAATTCGGTCCCCAGGACCCCAAAGCATTTTGGCCCTTGTGGCCCCAAAGGCTATATTCGGTTATATGATCAATAAAATAAATACCCTCACATAACATTTCACTGTCATTCAATCATCATCATCATAAAATTTGAAAGACTCAACTTAAATAAATTCTCATAAAAAAAATTAATGCTTCATTATACAAATGAAATCGTATCTTTATTAAAACTCAACCCTTGGCCTCAATAAATTTATAGATTTTCTTTTTATACATATATCATGATGAAATGTATCATTCACTTCCTTTAATTCAAAAAATATTTTCAAACTTTGTA